GTGTTTGATCACAGTGTAGTGAAGATCGAATTTAGAGTTGAAAGAACCGTGCTATGAAAACCAAAGGACAAGACTACTTCCGATGGTGAAAGTACAAATCATAATAAATCATGAAGAAAGTCGCTGGGTTCATTTTCAATTGGTTTTATATAATTATTGTTCCACAAAATTAACCTTTCCCCTGGAATCTAGTGATAGAGGATCTTCTGCTTCTACAAGTGCAGCAGGCTAGCCATTACAACGCAGAATTATCTCGGTCGGGAATTCAAGCCATCAGTTCTCACGTTAGCAATACTCTTCGACAGCAAATCACGTGGCTTCTTCTGAAGTCTCACGACCCATCGCCGGGCTTGAACGCTCAAATGTGACTTCTCCAACTCACTGCTTCAAGTAGCCAATGGTTTATATGTATTTCACTCCATTCCGACCACACCTCCAAATTCATTAATATTTATCAATTTCATTATTTCCTCTAACCTCGGAATCATGACCTTGACCCTAACACAACGCGGTCTAATATCCAAAAACAATAAACTTTCTTCTTACATTACGCAACAATTATTGTTTAAGTTATAAATTTTTGTATATAAAAAATTATTCCACATCAGCAAAGAATTCACTCTGCTTTTAGAAATCCTTTATTTTGCCAAACAATAATTTAATGCCAATAAATTTGATTGCAAATCATCGATTTCTTCTGCTTGTTGATTTACCAAAACCTGTTCTTAAGAAATTCTTTTATCTATTTTCAAAAAAACATACCAATTTATTTACATTTCCAGTAGGAACAACATATAACCTATGAAAACCGGAAGTCTTCATCAAATCAAAATCATTTTGGCTATTAAATGATTTTCTGCGCAATCAATAAAATCATGCTCTATAATTATTTTCCCGACCTCATATCGCAACATCTCATTTCAAAATTAAATTTCGTTTCCATATTTTCAACCATTGATAGGCGGAGAAAAAGCTGAGAAAAAAAAAATACGAAGATATCTTGCAAAATCAATCGTTTTTTTCCCCCGCAAACATTAAAAAATTGTTTTATATGATAATTCGCCTTGACTCATATTACGAAATTGAACATTTTTCTGTAATTATTTACCTGAACTCAGTGAAAACTTTTAAAAATTTCAAAAGATTTTCCATCGAAAATTTATCCACATTAAAAAATTAAATAAAAGGAAAATTTTCAAAAAACACAAAAAACAAAATTTAATTGAAATTCATTTTATTTTTAATATTCTTGAAAAATATCAAAATTTGTTGTTTTCAGAAAAAGACGCAAAATTTATTTTTTTAATTAATTTTAAAAATTTTCAATAATTTTTTTTCGTCGTTTTTTAAAGAAACTGCAATACTCGCAACATTTTCAGATTCTTTCGAAAATTTGTACAGAACTGTTTCTGGCAAAACAGAAAAAAATCCTTCCAAGTCGGAAAAATGTCCAAATCTATCTCCACGAAAAACGAAAATGTGTTCTTTAGTTTCCACCTTTTCAAGAATTTGTCCATTTTGATCGAAGACAAAAAATTCCGACATTCCTTATCTTGTCCCCCGACAAATTCCCAGTTATTGGATCGGCACGAAGGAGGGGAAAAGAATCAGGATCCGACCCCGACGATTTTTCAAGTTCGATTGTTTTTCTAAAGAAGGAAATAAAAACAAAGAAAAAGAATTTCTTCAAAATCCAAAATTAAAATTTGTTCGTTCATTTGACACAGAATAAAATGGCTTTTTCTCTTTGCTTTATATATCCTTAGAAATAATTCTCTTCTGTTACATTTTTCTTACCTTAAGGGATCTTTATTGGATTATCCTTTAGATATAAGGATTATATTTTCCCTACAATATTATATATTAATAACAATATAACTTAATATAAATTCTGAGTTAATTTATTATGTAATAATACATAATTATATGTTTACATAAGCTATATTTCATATATTGGTTTATATATATATATTTATTCTGAAATATTGTTATGTCTAATTTTAAGTATTTAGAGAATTTTTAATATTATGGGGCCTTTTAGATTTAATATGTGGTGCATATGATAATATATAATATTGATATGTAGTATTGAATCGTATTTTACTAATATATATAAAATATTATGAGGTTTGATGAAGTGGCATTTAAATATTTATCTTGGTATAAATTTTTGCGGGGTTTATATATATATATATATATTATATATATATATATATATATATATATATATATATATTTTTTTTGTTTTAAATATTTTAATCTCTGTTACGGTTTTTTGTAATATTTTATATTTATTAAATTGTTAAATTGTTTCTATTAATTAATTATTTAATATATTTTTAGTCTTTTTTATATAGTATTTTCTATTGATTATAAAAGCACCTTTTCAGTCCCTTATTCTAAAGGCCTTTTTATTTTTGTTTATTTTTAAGGATTATTTTTAATATTATATATTACATTTTAAATATTTATTTTCTTGTGGATGGGTATTAATTAATATAAGTTTAATTTGATATATTTTGATTTGGATGAATTCATCCTAAGATAGTGTTTCCCCCTCCTTTATATTTATTTATTTTTATATTTCTCTTAATATTTTTCTGATATATTCGTTAATTTCATACCCATTAATTCTGAATTATCTCTCATTCATACTTTTTGCCTTTATCTCTTATTATTTTATATAATTTATTTTTTTCTTTCATTTCTAAAGGTTTTGTTTCTATCTACTTTATATTTACTACTGAGTATATTAAAAAGGGTCATCTCTCCTCTCCTTTGCTTCTTTCTCTTCTTTTCCCCTCTGACCACCACTCATATCAAGATTAACACCACTTCTTGTTTCTTTTGCTACCTTTCCTTCCTCTCTATTCTTCTTCTTCTTCTTCTTCTCTTCTTCTTCTCCTTTTTCTTTCTTTCTTTCCTCCTCTCTGTCTGGGAATTTTTTATTGCATTAATTTATCATCCATTGACGGTTTGAAAAATCTTATTAATTTAATTTTTCAAAGTTGAAAATGATCATTTACAATGGTATGTTAATCCCAATTGTATGAAATATATTTCTCTCTTTATAAAAACATTGAGTTCTACGTGTGAATCAGTTATAATATTTAATATTTAATAATTTATATTTTGTGTTAGTAGGATTCATTTCGATTATATACCAACAGATTACTACACACACACACTCTCTCTCTCTCTCTCTCTCACACACACACACACACACACACACACACACACACACACATATATATATATATATATATATATATATATATATATATATATATATATATATATATATATATATATATATATATATATATATATATATGTCCAGGTAAAATGATTAATTTAATTTCAAAAGCAGAATACTTCATCTTAAAAAAAAATAACAATAAAAATAAGCTTGTGTGCTTTACCGTGATAAACCAATCGAATGTGACCTATGCTAAATTCAAACACCGAAAAAACAATTTTTAATATAGGTCATAACACGAAGTTGTCTGCATATAAAACCTCGACAATTTCCTTATGGGCAGATACAAGTTGTTACATCATTTTGTAAGATGTATAGAAGTTTGACGTTCACCATTCCTTATAAGTAAAAACTAAAGACTTATGGAGATTATTTAACATACGTACGCAATACAGTTTATATTTTATCCAAGAATTCTATTAACAACCAAAAAATGACATTACTCGTTTAATACTTTCAACGAATTTCTTGTATTCTTGTTGTTATATAAAATTAATGTTATTTGTTAATATTACGTTGTCTTTTCTCACTGGATTTGATTCTTTCAATGAAAGTCGTTGGATTATTCTAAAAGGCCGAATTAAAAGCTGTCCCAGAAAAAATATTTGATGTTATTTTATCGAATCCCGAAACTCCGAATTTTGACATTTAATAAAAAGCCGAGTAAAAGGATTTCTACAATGGATATGAATTGTTTGTATCTTTAATATTATTTCTCTTATTGTGAAAAAAACAAAACACTTTACATGTCCTGGATTTCATGTTAGCCACTTAAGCAGATGTTCATTGTTAGAGAGAGAGAGAGAGAGAGAGAGAGAGGGACAGAGAGGGACAGAGAGGGAGGGAGATAGAGAGAGAGAGAGGTATGCAGACATACAGCCAACAAGTAGATACACATTGTATTTAAAGATATGGCGCACCTACATATTTCTGGTCTGCTTGGGTGTGCCTTTATGGATAGAGAGGCATTTTTTTCTCTGCTGCTCCTCTGAGTACAATTTTTGTCCCTGTCTTTACATGTCATTTATTTCTCTTCTCTTCATCTAATCGAGAAAATATATATATTGTTTATATAACCAATTACTCCATTTCTTTTTTCACATTCTGCCAGCGTTTACATAATGGAATCATTAAAGTGAAGAGACAATGGAGGTATTTCAATCATTTATCCTACCCGTGATATCCTGAGCAGGATTAATTACATCCTGCTTGAAAGTGCGTGTGTGTAATGGGGGGGTATCGTGCTTCAGATCGTATTCTGAATAAAACATATTAAGATAAAATGATAAAGAAATGCATTTCTCTTGGTAGGAAACATTTATACAGTCAAACAAGATACTTTCAAACAGATCAAATTTCGGCAAAACAAGCAATGCACAAAAATTAAAGTAAATATTGTAGCAAGCTGAAGATTTACTGGTCGAACCAGAGTAGAGATAATATTTTAAGACTCATGTATTCTTTTTTGGGGCTGACTTTTTTGTCGAGATGTAATATATATATATATATATATATATATATATATATATATATATATATATATATATATATATATATATATATACTATATTTATATACGGAATTATATTTCAAAAAAACTAAGAAGGATTTTATGCAATCTCTAATTTCTCCAATCCTAAGAATTTATTTTATCTGTTGAAGTCAATATAGAATGAAAAGCAAATAAATTTAAGTCATTTATTTTATAAAGAATCCAATTTTTTCTAGGGATAAAATCAGTCTACATAGATAGACTTGTAGAGAGAAGTTGGACAGATAGACACACTGAGAGACAGACAGACAGACAGACAGACAGGCTGATAGATAGATAGATAGATAGATAGATAGATAGATAGATAGATAGATAGATAGATAGATATACAAGGCTGAGGCACAGACTGATAGATAGACCGACAGGCTGATAGAAAAACAGACAAGTTGATAGATATACATACAGATAGACAGAGAGATAGACTGACAGACAGACATACAGCCTGATAAACAGATAGGTAGAGAGACAAACTGATAGAGAAATATCCGGGCTGATAAACAGACGGACAGACAGACAAGCTGATAGGTTGACTGATAGACAGGCCGATAGACAAAGCTGATTAATAGACTGACAGTTTGACAAACTGATAGACAGGATGAGGGACAAACAGACAGACAGGTTAATAAACAATGAGATTTATGCAATTTACGATATTGAAGTGATCTTTCCTGAATTATCTTAGGGTCAGGTTTGGATTTTCCCTCACTTCAAAAACAGCTCTGAAACAAGTCAGTTTTTATCAGACCTCGCAGACTCTCCATGTCTCACTTCATTGTATATAACGGTTATCTTTTTAATTTTTCAAACCATCTTCGGCTTGACTTAAATGCATTTTTATCTTCAGAAGATGTGCTTGGTATTTTTTCTAAGATCCACCTCCACTGCCCTTACCTTTGTACATATCATATCTTCAGACACAGAATCACTTCGGAGCTGCTTTACTCATTCATTCACACCAGCAACAGCTTTTCAACATATTCTTGGGTTTTTGGATGATGCTTAGTAATTATACTAACTCCCTTGGCTACAAGCTTCTCTTTTTAAATTTATTTCTATCTTCTTCTTTAGGATAATGCAAATTGTTGCAGCTGAACGTCCGTATAGATTGGCAAGCTCAGAAACACTGGTACCATCTTCATGCTTCTGAATCATCTCCTTCTTCATTTGTACGGATATTTTTTCTTCTTCTTAGTAGGAATCACCTTCTTGGCAACAAAAATGGAATCTCTTCTTACCTCGAGATATGCGATTAAAATATTTTTTTAAATGAGAATAATGACTAGGTACAAATGAACAGCGTGAAAAATAAACACTGGAGGATTGAGTTCAGATTTTGGCTTTTTGTTTTCCCTTGTGAAAGGCAAGAATCTCTTCTTCCTTTGAGATATGGGATTAAAAAGAATGATATGTTAGGCTTTGACGACTTCGTTGGCAACCAATCTAGAAGAAGGACAAATGTAAATTCAAAACTGTGCAAAAAGGAAACAGAGAAACAATTCCATTTCTAAAGAACAGACACGACAATGTGCAATTAAGACATTAAAAGTGAAGCTGTGAAGCGCTATAATCAGCCAAGTTCGAACCAGCATCGTTATACAAAATAATGATGATATAAATAATTCTGAATTGTTTGTAAAATGAATGAGAATCAAATGAAGCACCACCCGAAATTAGAACCCAATGAGGATACACCACCTGGAATCAGAACCCCAATGAGGATGCACCACCCGAAATCAGAACCCCAATGAAGATACACCACCTGGAATCAGAACCCCAATGAGGATGCACCACCCGAAATCAGAACCCCAATGAGGATGCACCACCCAAAATCAGAACCCCAATGAGGATTCACCACCCGAAATCAGATTTTGATAGGTTGTATTTACCAAAAGCCTTAGAAGATCGAAGTCTAATTCAACTTGAATTAACTCTAAAAACTGCAACTACCTAATTAGGAGCCTACCTCATAAAATCGAATCGGGACCCCCCCCTCTTACAAATAGTAAAACACCAAATCCATTCCATCAACAAAAAAGATGCTCTCTTAGAGAAACAATTTAATATAACTGGAATCCTACCAACAAAAATCGAATCAAATACAATCTATGCCAAAACAGAAGACAAAACAATTTGGCCAAATGATATTACAACAAAAAACTGGGAGGAAGAGGCGTTGGATTGCAAATACATAAAAAGAAAGAAAGAAAGAAAGAAAGAAAGAAACAGATGTGGATCAACAGAAAACACATCATTGGTTTAGGTGAACCCCGGGATGATAACTGAGACAGAAGATTTAATTATTGCAGCTCAGGACCACAGCCTCGCAATCAGATCCTATCACAATCACATAATCAAGGATGGAACTAATCTGAAATGAAGGATCTGCGGAAAATATGATGAAACAGTCTTCCATATTATCTCAGGATGTCCGGAACTGACAAGAAATGAATATATTCGGACATAACAAGGTAGCAACATATGTGCCCTGAAAGATATGCAAGAAGCAGAAAATCGAAATCACTGAAAGATGGTATGTCCACCAAGCAGACACAGTTGTCCCCCCACCCAATAACTATCCTCTGGGACATGCCAATGCAAACTGGCAGGGAAATAAAAGCCAATAGACCTGATATTATTATAAAAGACAAGAAATCTAGAAAGTTTATACTTATTGACATAACATCTGAGAGAAACATGTCCATAAAAATTATTAAGAAATTATCCAAATACAAGAACCTGGAGAGCGAGATTAATAGGATGTGTGGAATGAAGACTGAGACTGTCTTACCAATAGTAATTAGATCGCTGGGCCTCGCGAGAAAAGGAATGGACAATTTTACTAAGGGTGTCCCAGGTAATATAAACATACAAGTCGCCCAAAAAGTCGCCCTACTAGGAACATCCCATATATTAAGTAAAGTGCTGTCAATGAAATTCCCCTATAGAGCCAAAGGACGATAGTTTGGACTCAACTCTACAGGATAAAACAAACAGGAAACATAAACACAAACAATAATAATAATAATAATAGTAATAATAATAATAATAATAGTAATAATAATAATAATAATAATAATAATAATAATAATAAATATTAAAAAAATCTCAAATTGTTTGCAAAATGAGAAACAAATAATAATATTATTAATAATAATAATAACAATAAAAATAAAAAAATGGCGAGATTTAATAAAAAAAAAGCAGTGTATAAAAATATTCCACAATATTTCGACTGTATGTCAGTCTTCATCAAGTTATAATAAAAACAATTTTTACACAAGAAAAGTATAAATGAATTGCATCAAATTAACATAAAATTTATCAGGTTTTTCTGTTATTTCTGTACGTTTTATTTCCAGTCAAGTTTTATCTCTGTGAACCCGAGGCTCATTTATGCTGCTATGATGTGAATGACACCTATAAGTCAAATAAAAATTTATTTTATATTTAATTTGAATAAAATATTTATTTAATGTTTCATTTATTTTTACATATTTAAACTGTCTTCCTTTCTCATAATTATCAGTATTAGGCCTTATGTTTCCCTTCAAAGGCCTTATATATTTCCCTTCCAAGGCCTTATATGTTTCCCTTCAAAGGCCTTATATATTTCCCTTCCAAGGCCTTATATGTTTCCCTTCAAATGCCTTATATATTTCCCTTGAAAGGCCTTATATGTTTCCCTTCAAAGGCCTTATATGTTTCCTTTTAAAGGCCATATATGTATCCCTTCAAAGAGTTGGCCCAGGGCGTCACCAAACGTCCATAAACATCAGCACGTCACTCATTACACCAACCAATGTTACGATATTTAATACCAGAATTCATTTAATTCCTAAAAATCATTTTTAATATTTTTTTTCATAATTTTTATTATAATACATTTATTATAATTATTGAAAATCGAGGAAAAGTCAAAACAAACTTATGATCCTTGAAAGAAAAAAACTCTTACAATAAAAACTACAATGTCTCTAAATAAAAGTAATAATAATTTAAGATGCCGCCGCCTCCTCAAATGTATTTATTAACAGACACACAGACATCACGTACGTCGCCTCCATCATAAGACTCTTTGCACACATCACAACACTCAACAGTTCTATGAAACTCACCATTTCTTTCTACCTATCCTGATGATGACTTATCAAAGTTGAAACACTTGAACCATATTTCTCTTATTTTTCTTCCAATCTGAAATTTCTGACGGAATTTCTTCCTTGTCTTTGAAGGATTATTTGTCATTTGGAAAAGTCAATCATTAAAATTAATCAACACAAAATGTCTGTTGTCTTTAATAATATTTGACTTGAAGATTTGCTGTCTAAATCCACAATGTGTGTGTCTGTGTAAAATACAGGCACATTTCAAATACGTGTAGAAAACTTAAACATTCATTCATATATATATATATATATATATATATATATATATATATATATATATATATATATATATCCCGTATTAATGATGATATCACGTCTATATTTTCTTTTTCTGTTACTTTTTTCTTAATTTTTAATAAAATTATCTTTTTTTAAATGATGACGATCGATGACGTTGATTCTGTTGTTGTTGTTCCAAGTCCATTTTTTCTCTCCCTGTTGTTTTTGCCCCCCCCCCTCCGGACGGAAAGTGACGTCCGGAATTGACGGGTCACTCCATTTATGACCCTCACCTCTGACCAATTTTTAAGTCGAGCCTCGAGTTTCTTTCTTTAAAGGAAAAGTACGAAAAAAAAAAAAGAAATCTTTTTAATTATTTGACTCATTTCATATTGTTATCAGACGAAAAAAAAATCAGTTTTTAAGAAAAAGAAATTCATCTGTAAAAAGAAATTTTATTTTTCTGCAGAAATTAAAAAATGTCATTTTTCATTTTTACTTCCATTTGAAAATCCAATGAAATTCACTTCCACATTTTCTGTCAACCTTTGATGGTCGGAGAAAAAAAAATGATAACAAACGAAAATATTTTGTAAAATCTATCGTTTTTTCATAAAAATTATTACAATTTTATTTTTTTTAAATGATTCTTTGCCTCGATTCATATTTCGGAAAATGAAATATTTATTCATTATTTACCTAAACTCATATTGAGAAATCATTGAAAACATTTACAAAAATTTCCAAACGAAAATTTGTTCACATTAAAAAGAATTAAATAAAAAAAAGAGAAATTTTAATTCAAATGAATTTATTTGTAAAATACTCGAAGAAATTCAATTTTTTCATTTACAGAAAAAAAATTATTTTTTCAAATAATGTTGAAAATTTTCATTATATATTTTCCGTCGTTTTCAAAACAAACAAAGATTTTTTTTCGAGAAACAAAAATCTTCCTCAGATAAAAATCTGATGTTTTCGGAAATTTGTACACATGTTTTTTTTCTGGCAAAAGAGAAAAAATTTCTTGCAAGTTGCAAAAATAAATCTGTCCAAATTCATCTCCACAAAAATCGCAAATTTCTTTTTCAGTTTTCACTTTTTGAAGAATTTGACCATTTTTATTAAAGACAAAGATTTCGGCCATTCCTTCACATGTCCCCAACAAATTCCCGGATGTAGGATCAGCACAAAGGAAAGAGCGAGATTGAGAAGCCGAACCCAGAGATTTCTCAACTTTCACTGTTTTTATTTTCTTTCCCACTTTAGAAAAACAAACAATTTCTTCAAAATCCGAATCACAAACGAAAATTTGTTCGTCCATTTGACACAAAGAAAAAAGATTTTCTTTTGTGTTGATTATTTTTACTTTTTCTAAAAATGGTGGACTTTTCTTTCGCACCAAAAACAAAAGTCTTCCCCTCCCCGGCGACATAATCGGAAACAACCACGAAAGTCTCCCTCCCCTCGACCCAGGCAACCACAAAGAACCACAAACAACCAAAATGTCTTTTGAAAGACAACAAATATTCCAAGGTAAGAATATCTCTCCTTCGCCCATCAGAGGACATTGGCCGACGAACTCCCCAGTCTCGCCGAATTCCTTGATCGATTTATCGCGTCCATCAACAACAAACACGTGACTGTCTTCGTCGCTGATGGCAATCGAATGAATCGACCCCAGGTTCGAATCCTGAAGGCGGAATTCGCTTTGAAGTTCCAATTCCCTTGGAGGCCATCTCTCTACAGTGAAGTCGACCATTTCTTTTTGAAGTTGGTCCAATGATCTCTGGCACCATTCTGGAAAGGTCACCACAAAATGACCTTCCTCAACAGGAGCAAATGATTTGTGGTGCCACCATGAAAGCTTCGCTCTCAGCGGTTCTACACCACAAACAATGTCCTCGTCGACGTTGCCGTCGCCTAACAAATGGCGCAAATCGATGAGCCATTTTTCCGCCTCCTCCAAAAGCTTTTCTTTCTGTTCGAGGGATTGGCGCCATTTGCTCTGTTTTTCGGTCATCTTTCGTCTCATTTGTTCGCACAGTTCTTCGGCCTTCATCCGCGCCTTTTCCATAAACGCATCAAATTCCTGCCAGACTTTTGAGCAATTCAATTCACAATCTATTGATAATTGTTCAATCGATTTCTTTGTCCGTTCAATTCTTTGACGGAGTCGCTTTTCGAAATCTTTGACATCTTCCTGCAAGTCGAAGAGGCGCTTTTTCGCTTCTTTTATCTCATTCCTCAAAGACGAAGCCATTTTTTGATTTCGTTCAGGAAAAATAAAATCTGAAACTGCAAAGACAAAAATCTTTTTACAAAAATAAAAAAAAATGGTCAAAGTTCAAAACCATAAAAAGTCGATTTATAAAACCGAAAAGAAAATGACCCGAACTTTTTGGATTTTATAACAAAAACAAATCGATTTCCTGAAAAATTTTAGATTTCTTCTAAAATCACAAACAATTGAAGGCGGTGGGGGTAGTGGTAAGAGGAAGCTGAATGAAATCTGAGAGAGTGAGGAATGAGGGGAGTCATGGGAGTGAGAGAGAAAAATAAAATACATAGAGAGTGGGGGAAGGAAATATAGAGTGTGTCAGAGTGAGTGAAAAGTGAGAAAAACCGAAAGAAAGAAAAGAGAGAGTGGTTATCGTCTCAGAAATCAGAAAGGAAAGGAAAGAAAGGGTAAATAAAACTGAGAGGAAGAGAAAAGCTCCAATTTGCTGCCTTCACAATCATTTTCAACATTCAGATGTTAATTAAATTGCTTCAGTGTTCTTTTCACCGGACATGATTTAAGAAATTTCACAATGGCGGCTTTTATCGTCTGCTTATGAAACGATCCTTTTTTTTATGACAAAATTGAGTCCATTTAAATAAAATAGTCTACTCATTAGAATATTTTTTTTAAAAAATGAGGTCATTTTTTTGGTGGGCGGGGTCCTGTGAAATTTTTGTAGATTAGCATTTATTAGACTCTCAAGCGACTGCCAGGAGAAAAATTCTGTTTACAATATCGATAAAGTGTGAAATCGATCTCTGACTTTTACACATTTTTAAATGTTTATTTTATTACAAAAACTTTGTTTAAAGAAGAAAAAAAGTATAAATTTTTGTCAGAAAAAAGTTACATAAATTAATCAAAGTCTTCATCTGTTTATTCTTCATTTATGATAAAGAATTAATCCACATCTGTGAATTGCCCCCCCACCCCCCATAAAAAGTAGCGAAAAATATGCAGACATCTCTGATGAAGGCCGAGTTTCAAACATAACATTTGTAAATAACAATTAAGTTCAATAATTCTTCCAAAGTCAGGGATCGATTTTACACAATATTGATATTATGAACAAGACCCTCACATTATAAATGGAAAAGTAATGAATCATTATTCGATTCTGGAAAATGTCGTCGTCGCTTGAAGAAAATCCAATTAATTTTAATAGACAAAAAAATAATCCCCCCCCCAAAAAAAAAATGTTCACTATTTTATTACAAATGGACCAATATATTTAATTTAAGTAGTGCCAAGAAGTGAATTAAGATTTCGGAAATATTACAAATTGTCTACAATCGAAATAAAGAAGGAGGAAGAAAGCAAAGAAAACAAATTCGATGATTAAAGGAAAGAAATAAGCAGACGACATAAATAAATAGAAATAAACGTTATCTTTAATCTTTCTGATATCATTGGAAAGACTTTATCAGAAATATTAACTAAAAAAGAATTTATTTTAGCACAGAATCCGGATCAGACATCTTTTAAAATTATACGGAGAGTGAGAGAGAGAGAAAAAGAAGATAACAAGAAAAAGTTTGTCTCTAAATGAATTCGGTTAAAAAAAGAAAACAAGAGAAAAAAAAAAAAAAAAAAGCAGGAATTCTCGTTGTATTGATGAAAACATTTCGATTATTTGGAAATCGATATAAAAATTGTGACTTACATTTGATTTCGTTTCGATTTCACTTGAGGGAAATTAGTTTTTCTTCAAATTTCGGAGACCAAAAAAAAAACGACTTCTTCTTGGTGTTGTTTCTTGTGAACTGAGCAGGAAAGCGCTGTGACGTCACAGGAGTGTAAGGCATTTCATTGGACGAGAATAATCACACCACTTGACTAAAAGGCGTTTCTCAAGATAACAAGGGAGGTGGTAAGTGAAGTGGAGGAAGAAGGAATAAGCACTGTGACGTCACAAGAGTGTAAGGCATTTCATTAGACGAGAATAGATATTTATTCGTACGTTTGTACAAAATGTGGCACAAGGCCAAAAAAGCGGTTGGGGAAGGACGGTCTGTCTTAATTGTAATCTTAGCTAGTCACAGACACGGACCCAAACATACCAACAATAGTCCTATCACCAAAACGGCACATTCACTTCTACCTTTCTTACTACGTCCACCATAATACATCAAATTCTCCATGAAATTCTAACTAGTCCCCATATGTACATTTCAAAGTCTGTGTGTGTGGGGGGGGAACAACAATTTAAAAAGCCCCAATGATTATTTACAATATGAAATAATACTATTTACATGAAAACAAAACAAAATAGTGTTAGTAATAAAAAAAAAAACACAATCCCTAAATGTGGCAGAAACATCAGTTAACTGAACGAAATAATTGCGGGATTATAACATTATAAAAAAACAAACAAGCCCACAAACACGCACTCATTTAGACACAATGACAAATACGAAAACACACACACGAAACGAAAGTCATCCCAGAACAACCAGAGAACTGACATTACTGACCACCTAAGAAGGGAGGGGATGGGGAATTAAACAAAAGAAAAATGGGGACAGAAATAAAAGGGGACCAATGAGCAGACATACCCGAGCTAAGTTAACTAGAAACGGAAAACTAAAGATTCAAACTAAAAAACCTAAACTAGCCTAATATCGGAGCGGGTTGCCTCTGTTCAACCCAGAAAGGACAAAATTCCTGTAGCTAACCGACGTCTGAGTGTCACTCCAGGTCAGCCCCTTTCACTCTACACAATCGCGCAAGATTTACCCACCTTTTGCCGAATTCTGATGAAGAGAGTCGCCGCCTTTCCGTTCTAATCTTGATGCCTAAAGTACAAGATCAGTTAGTGAGAGGTGAACTTCTCACCTCCATAGAATCCCTTCTGACGTGTCGACCAAATCACGACTCTCATAACTCCTAGCAAGCAGTGGAACACATAAAGTTCAGCCTTCGTCAACGGCGGCGCCACATTGCTACAAACAGAAGAGGCCTCAAGGACAAAGAACTTTCCGTGCAACATGCGAACCATGAGGCCTTCAACAAACTTACACAACGGAGCTACCAACTTGCAATGAAAGAAAACGTGACCAAGGGTCTCGACATCCCCACTACAACGTCGGCAGTTTAGAGATTTCTCCAAGCCCGCTTCGCAAAGTTTTTTGGCGACCTAGAGGACCCCACGCATCACCAGCCAAGTGAGGGATGCCTCATCGTTATTGAGACATTTCAACCCGGGAGCCCAAGGCCAGATCGAGCGAGCCTCCTCCTTCATAAGACCGAGCTCGTCAATCAGATCATCATGAACGGCCCCCTGACTAACACTTGATATAATGCCCTACGAGAAAACGCCTGGACGTTGGTGAGGCCATCCGACGCCCGTAAGAGGCGTTTCAGAGCAAGACGACATTCACGGTAGAAGGAGCACTCGGCTCGGGGTAAACGGCGGGCCTCCTCGCACAAGTGCACACTTCTCAAGGATGGGAAATTTCTACGGGCGTCTTCTTTCTAGAAGGCGCCCCCCATCATCCGGTTCGCGACACAAACGATCTAGGAACCCGATGCGAAGCATATAGAGGCGGACCTCAATGCTAGGCATACCTAGACCGCCTTCAGATGGATGAAGGCAACAAATCTCCGGAGAGACTCTGGCAGACTTGCCTCCCCACAAGAAGGAGAACAAGAGCTTCACTAACGCCAGTGTCAGACGGAAGTGGAAGCACAGAGAGTCGGTAAAGGAAAATCGGGTAGATATGTGAAACACATACCTCCGCCCTCCTCTTTAAGGAAAGATTCCTCCGAGACCACAAATTAATTGCGATCTCGGCCTTTCCTTGTACCTCCGACCAATTCATTCCCAACTGGATATCTGGACCGAACCAGATGCCGAGTATCTTGACCGGTCCATCCGTCCAGTGGAAAGGTCCGGAAAGAGAAACTCTCTTCTACGCACCCAACCGCAAGCCAACAGACTTATCGCGGTTGATCTTGGCTCCTGTCACCATCTGATAACCACTGATTCCTTTGCTGACTTCGTTAATCTCGGCTCTGCTCGACACAAGAACCGAAACGTCGTCAGCATAGGCAGAATACCAGGCCGAGGTAGTAGCACCAGGTAGAGAAATTCTGCGCAGGTCCAGGTTCGCCTTTAACTTGCCAAGGAAAGATTCCAAAGCAAGAACGTAAAACATAGGCGAAAGCGACAACCCTGACGAATAGATCGAGACAATACGAAAGGTTCCGATCTTACCCCGTTCACTTCCACCAGCGCACCGGGAGTCGCATACAGAAGACGGATCCAGGAGCGAAAGTCCGGCCCGAAACTGACAGCCGAAAGAACAGCCTCCAGGAATCGATGGTCGGAGCCAATCAGACTAGACAGGACAAGCTGCAAACGGTTGGCTAAGATCTTTGCCAAAATCTTTAACTCTTTATTTAACATAGTTAAAGGGCGAAAATTACCTATCCCATCAACACCGTTTTTGTCCTTAGGCAGCAACTTGATCACACCCCTGGTGAAGCGTTGAGGTATAGATCCCTGCTTCATCCAGTTGTTGAAAATCAGTTCCAGCAAAGGAACAAAAACGGGCGCCTGCCTCAAGTAGACTTCATAGGGAAGACCATCTAATCCCGGATGTTTATCCAGGCCAACCTGTTTCAACGTTTCCCAGATTTCCGACTCTGTGATGGGACCCTCGCACCCAGCCGCTTCAACTGCCTCGAGGTAGGGAAAGTCGGCTAAATAGGCGTCGAACCGAGCAGGGCTTAGACCGGGCTCCCTAGTAAAAAGATCCCGAAAATAATCCCGAAAAGCCTCACATGTGCCCGAGTTTGTAGTCATGGTCCGCTTATCCGGCAATGTGACGCACGCAATATGCCGCCGTGATGCATTCCTACTTTCCTCTGCACGCAATTCTGCGGCCATATTCGTCGCCTCAGAAGACATTCTTTTTAACCTAGCCCTAACTACCAGAGCTTGATCTTTCTTGATAAGCATGGAGGCCAACTCTGCCTTAGCTAAGGCTACTTCCCCACTATCACGGGATTTAACTGCCCGATCTACTCTTTGCCCTAAAGCCGTTTGCACCGCTAATCTATCTAGATTGAGTCGACGGCTAAAATCGGCAGCAAACGTTCGAATTTTAGATTTTAATTTGTCCCACCAGGCATTTCCCACCACAGCCCCCGTCAGTTCCCTTTGTAACATTAGTAGCAGCTGGTCCCGGAATTCCTGCTCGCCAAATAACGAACAGTTGAATTTCCAGTAACCAGCTATCCTAACCTTAGGCTTATCTAAGTTTACACGGATCCGGACAAGCCTATGATCCGAATAAACTATATAATGGAAGTTTAGACACTCTGAGAGCCCTACATCCCCTCTAGTAACTAAAACTCTGCACTCCTACA